CACAGCCCCCCTCGGGCGGCGGGAGCAGCCTCCGGGCTGTCACCGCCGGTAACGCGGCTTCCTGGTAGGCCCCGGTGCCCCGCGCCGGGCAGGAGGGCAGCCCTTGCCCGGCCCGGTGCCGGCTGCTTCCTGCGAAACAAAGGAGAAAGGAGGTGAATTCGGGAAACTCCTCAGGATTTTCCTCTCGTCGTGGCCAGCAGACAACAGTCGCCGTCTCTGGTGCTTTTGTGTGATGTTATCGCTTCCAAACCAACGTTTTCATCCCTGGTTTCTTTTTTAATTGGGCAGGGTGGGAAGGGAGGCCGAGGGCACCCGGGGTTATGTGTGTTCAGTTAGATTTTGTCATGGAGATTTGCACATCTGTGCCCTTTGCCGCCCGGGGCAGAGGGAAGCAGCAGGGCCCATTTCTGAGGCTGCCATTTCTGTAGGCCGCGCTCAGCTGCCTGCTCATCAGGACTCGTTTACTGTCTACACGGTTTGTTTTTGTTTGCTTTTCGGTGAGGTGGGGTCCTGGTAGTAAGTGTGTGGCTTTCAGCACCTTCATCAGTGAGCCAAGACACCGACGAGCGGAGTTTAAAGAGGTGCTTCTTGGGTTAGGTGCTAAAAACGGGAAGTGAAATACTGCGGGAAGGGAAGGTGGAAAGCATTGAAGGAAAATGGTTGAAATGGTTGAAAAAAGAGCCTGCACGCCAAATCCTGCCTCATGTGAGGGACAGCCTTTGTGCATTTATGTATGCCTCGATGCTGCAAATACTGAAGCATATGCTTGACTTCATGTGTGCCTGTAGTTCTTCAGTCTTTAGCAGACTATTCAGGTTTTACACTTAAGCATGTATTAATTAATTGCAGGTTCCTAGTTTTCTTCTTTAGTGGTAGAGTGGCAATTGGAAAGAAATGTTTTAAATAGTGATGAAATGACTTATTTGTAAACTCTCTGTGGCCAGAGGAGAAACGGAAATTAGTGGCTGCCTGACTGAAGAAAGCCTGTTACGGTGAGCTTTGCCACATTTTGAATAAGAGTGGATGACTGAGAGGTGCAGGAGTGGAGGAGAATTTATTCTTTCAGGACTACCAATTCAGGATACTTAATACAAGTTATTCGTAAAAGAAAGTTTACATTATTTATGTGTACAAAAATTAAAAAGAACTGCATTTATTTGAGATCCATAAAAAACTAGGAAAATTGAATGAGTTTAATGGAAAAGGGGAAAAGTGGAGATAGCAGGGACCAGAAAATCTTTTTTCATTTAACACCCCCCCCAAACCCAGAAACAGTTTGATAACATTTTGCAAGTGACTGCTATCAAATGACATGCTATATGTTGTCCCTTTTAGAATTAACTTCATTCTGCTAACACCGCTGTGATGGATCTCCTAATAATAAATACTGCACTAAATTGCATCTACAGGGTTATGACAAATACCAAGCACCACATGCTAGGAATGAAACACAAATCGCAAAAGCAAGAGGATATTAGGAATGTTTCTTACTTTATCTAGGAAGTTTGACCCACTAATTCAAAGACAGAGCTGAGAAATAGAAACTTTGAAGGAGTTTTGGGACTGTATGTGACTTTAAATTGTTTTGTTCTCTAATGAAAGTATGGGGGCTACTTAGCTTTGCTATTCTGAACACGAAAACTGGTGCAAATCCTAAATATTAGAGAAGACCACTTTGAGGCTACCTGCCTAGAGATCTCAGGGCATCATTTTTGCTTGCTGTTACTGCTGTGGAGCAAGTATAGCTTGTGTGTGCAGCCTCAAGTGGACTCTGTTTCAACCTTGGATATCATCAACAGAACTGGTAACTAAGATGTAAATTCTCAAAGGTTTTGCGTGCCTACCTCGCAGAGGAATTCGATTGCAGCTGTACAGTTTTCAGATGAGCTGGACAGTTAAATACACTTGGTGTGCCTAGGCTTAGCTTCCATTGGTAGGACTACTTTAAATCAGAATTGTTCATGTATCCCTTCTCCCCTGTCCTTTCTCCTGCACATCACTTATATAAGGCTCCTGTCCTGCCTCAGGGCCCGCTGGCCTGCCGACTTTAGAAATGCATTTAAATAGTAAGAGTTCCCGTGTTATTAGATAATCGTTGTTATCTTACCCTCAATAAGCCATCTCTGAACTATGACGAGTTCCAAAGGTCGACAGTCTAATACCCGTAGAAGTATTTGCCTTTCACTTACTGTGAGTGTACCACTCTGTAATTGACTGTCTTCATAACAGAATGTGATAAGGCAAACCATAAGGGACCAGTTGCTTTTTATTAGACTTTTTCTTGAATAACTCAAAACTTTCAGTCTTTTCTGCTTAAATTATCCAAGTGTGTGAAATTGTATTTCCAAGTTTCATTACAACTGAATCCTAATTTTTGCCACCTCTTATCATATATCAGTCCTGCCAGTATTTTAAGTATTTTTGCCCTTTCTGGATTTCTCTGCAGCATCCAGATGAGCAAACACAACGGTGGTATTGTCCCAATAAAGGATCCTTAAATTGGGTTGTGTGGGTTGGTGAGGATGGTGGAGGGTACTGCAGTCTTTGTTCTGTTACCTTGCTTCAGAGCAGAATAGAAACATTGTTGCTTTATGGTGTTAATGAATCTGTGACAGTTTATGTGTGACTTGTCCCCAAGATGTTTTCTCTTTGCTATGCATTTTTGGTATGCTTTTATCCCAACCATATTGTAGGTGTGCTGCGTTCTCAGCATCATACAAACTGTAGTGTACAATTAAAAAAGCAGTTATTCCCCCTATCTTGTCTTCTTGATTCATGTTTCCGTAGACAAAATAGCTTGTCTGTGAAGTGGTCACTTGCTGTTGAAAGGACTTTTGTTTCTGTTTGATTTGGGCTTTCAGGAGATGTTTCATCTTAATAGTCAACTCGAGTGTTTTTGAGCTGTGTACCTTGAGCAGGAAGATATGATTTTGGTTGGTTTGAATTTTGCAATCTGCTGTCAAACAAGATTGTTTGTATCACTCTCAGTATGTGGGAGTGAATTTAGATTTTGGTATCTGTTGCACATTTTTGGGACCCCTCTCTGCCGACCTAATATTCCACCGTATCTCTTACACTGGTACCTTAACATGCTTTTAAGTAGCTTCTTTTCTGTTCATGTTTTGAGGCAACACTGATCTTTGAAAGAAGTTGAGTCACTTGTTACAAGTACTGCTCCAAAATTGTTAATTGCATAACTGCTCAGAACAAGATTTATTCTTCTTGAACCCGCTTTATTTCATGTAATGACCTCACATTACTGATTTTTTTAATGTTGTGCTGCTGTTAGCAAATTATGATGACAAAATTTAATGCATGGCTTGCAAGCATGTGCAGTCTTAATTTTATATATGAAAGCAGTGACCATTATAAATCGTGCATTCATCATCTGAAGAAATAAAGTAAACCTTCAAGCATTAGTCCTTTTTCAGATTTTCCCTCAGGGCAAACATTCACACTCATAAAGTAGTAAGATCGAAGAAAAACATCGAGTGACTTATGTACTTTCCCTGGTTTCAGTCAGGGGAGTGTGTGTGCACTTCCCCTTCATTTCTCTTTGACCCAGTTTCTGCTTTCTCTTTCACTCTGGCATCTGACCAGACAGTACCTGTTATTCTTTTATACAGTGTTTTCTTTACTTTGTAAACTGTCCAAAATATTGAGGGATATCGCCAGCATCCATTGTTTCCATTCTTTTCAGTATTGAATTGCACTTCTGAAAAGTATACATGAAAAATATGACAATGGTTTTTACATGCACGAAGGAGTTGCTGTTAAATACGAAATATGTATAGGTTTCTTTGCTCTTGATATTTTTTTTCCTGTCTAAACGCAAATTCCGTATACTTTTGAAAACTGCGTGGAATTGTATTTTGGACAGATTTTATAACAGGCAAACTATAGTTCTGGTCAAAGATCTCTAGTTTTCCTGAGAACAGCACTTTTCCCGGAAGGAGTGGGGTTCGATCATTAGTAACGTATTGTCAGCAGAATGATAAGGCAGCATGTGTTAAGTTTAGCTTGAAAATGAGAAGACTCACTCTCTCACTCCCAGGGAGCTCGACTACTGGAGTTGGGGACCAGATGGAAGAGCTAATCAATGTCTGCTCAAATGGGCTGGCTTTTAGTAGTGTTCAGTGGATTTTGGCTATTTGGTATACCAACACCTACACTGCAGTCTTTAAGATGTTGGGTTTTTTTCCCCAAAGGAGGAGAACTTTACTTTGAGATTATAAATGGATAGCTCAAAATTAGTAAGAACATGTGCAATTACATCAAAATGAATTAATATAACTGTGAGAAATAAGTACTTTTAAGACAATTCCTTCAAATTAAACAAATAGCAGGAATTAATGGCCTTCACAATGAATTTTGTTGTGCTTCAGAATCTTTACACAAGAGTGTGTACTTTTACAAAAGAGTGATTAATCAGATTGGCAACTGTAACATGTATTTAATTTCAGCTGGTAGCTAATAATTTGGCCTAAAATAGAAACTACAACTTCATCCAAGAATTACCAAGAACCTGATAGGGTTAAAGCACATCAATCACGTGTTTGGGAGCTTACATTTTTCTAATGCTTTCCAGTGCTGGTCTTTGTTTGTGTATGAGCCTGTATCTTAGTCTTGGTCTTTACCTTGATTTTATGTCTGAATAACTCAGTTAAGAAGGTTAGGGTATTTTTTTCATTTTTTTGTTAGTAAAACACTTCTCTCAGAATAATATATAGTGTTGCTGGAGTTACGTCTCTGTTAAATACTCCCTGGAATAGCTGTGTTGTAAAAGGCAGATTTATACTAGGTCCATCTCCAGTGGGAAGAGGAATTTGGGAGTGGGAGTATTTGGGGATGGGGGTACTCTAGCTAACAAGGAAAGAAGTACAGTTTTTCTGTATTGTTCGGAGTTGGTGAGTCCGGTAGCCCAATGCTGACGATGCTCCCACAGCTCTGTTATCACCAGGTCCAGTTGGTGGCCAGGTTGGTGGCACATTCCCGGTGCGCATGCATGAGCACCTGCACGGTGCACACATTTGCTAATGGTATCTCTGTTTAGTATCTCTGTTTTGTAGTCCTCAATCAGACAAGACGCTGTGAAATCACTGAGTATTTTAATTAAAAAGGACAGGACCTGTCCCTGAATTACCTTTTCACCTCTGAGAGGAGTCCCTGGAGGCGTTTGCTGGGAGGGAGAATGTCTGTATCCACAATTCTCTCCCGCCGCGGATAAATTGTTGACAGTGCCGAGAAATGAAATCCTTTTCCTGGCACTGCTCGGAGGCACTAAATTCATCTTGAGGCAGATGAGGCTGGAAGAAGTGGAGAGGAAAATCACATCAGTCAAGGATAAATCTTTAATGTTATCTATCATGTTACTTTGGAAATAGAGTGGTCTGAAAGGGCTGTTATTCCTCAGAACTGGGCTCTGTGCTATTCATCAGGCAGAGGTTGAGGTTTTAGTGTAGTTTTATTCCAAAAAGATGCAAAAGGATCATTATACTGCTTGAAATACACATCTACAGCAGCAAGCCTGACATACGAAGCATGATACAAAATATCATGCTCAGTCTTCAGTTTGTTCAGTTATTCTTCTGAATTTCAATAACTTAGTAAACTTCATAGCAAAATAAACTAGTTTTGTCCAGTGAACGGTGTCCTGATATTTATTCTCTGGTGGCTGGCATGCTAAAGTGCCACCCTCAGTGCCTAGCCATGGAAATATGGAAGACTTAATGAGTCCACAGAGTGTCAGGGAATGAATAAGCAATGCCAGTTTGGTTTCCTAGTTGACATTTGTGAGGGCACATTTCCATGCAGGATGCTGGCATAGATAGTTGTCAAGCACCACAACTCCTGTAAAGTCTTGCATTTCAAAGTTCCATGTGCAAAGGGTCGTTAACAATTAGCATTCCACTTCCTTATCATGGCAGGGCATGCTGTTTGTATCCTGGGCTTCATGTCTTTACCAAGATAAATTTAAGTGTCATTACATTCAAGGAGAAGAAAAGACTGATGCAGAAAACTTCCAAGGCTTTTTCAAAGAGATCAACACTACTCAGTGAAGAGTATACAGATGTCTGAGCCCTGTGCTTCTGTTTGTCCAAGAACTGAGGCAACTTCAGCACTTTTTAGGCCCTACGAGGAGACACTAGACAAATTCAGAGTTATTAATCTCAAATGTGGGATCTGTAGCTTCTGGGAGGAAAACTTTTTCACTGTGAGGGTGACCAAGCACAAGTCCCAGAGAAGTTGTGGAATCTCCATCCTTTGAGATATTCAGAAGCTGTCTGGACATGATCCTGGGCAGCTGCCTCCAGGTAGCCATGCCTGAGCAGGAGGGCTGGACCAGATGAGCTCCAGAGGTCCCTACCAACCTCAGGCACTCTGTGAGTCTCTGGAGGACTGGACTCCATAGCTTGTTGGGATGGTTCAACTCCCTACCCTTCCAAAACGGACACACCAGCTTATACATGGGATTCTCTCTGCCCACAGATTTCACTTCTACCATCATGTTAAGTGATAATCCTTTATTTCAGGATTGCCTATAGAAGAATGACATGAGGACTTGATTGTCAAAACAATTAAGCAAGAAGTAGGATTAAACCTCAGGAACAACAAGACGCTCATATGATCTGTTGAGTAGTAGGCCTTTTCCCTGTCAGATTCTTGATTTTACCAGCTCTGAACGTTTTATATTGTGGTCACAAATTCAGTGTTTGCCTCAACTCTTGCTTTGGAGAGCAGACTGGTAAAATGATCGTGATCCTTTTTTCACATGCTGCCTGTGGTGTAATAGGCCTCAGGGCACCCTGTCCGCAAGCTGGGTGAGGAAGGAGCAGTACTGATGTTGACTGCGTGGGAAGCTGTGTTCCGTTCTTGCAGTATGTTATTCCTGGATGCCAGTCACGCCCAGCCAGCCACCCCAAATTCCTCCAGAAAAGAAGAAACTTCCTTTTCTTTCAAAAATGAAATAAGAAATGTGTTTGTTAATAATAAAAAAAAAAAAAGAACAACCTTGTTAAGCTCTGGGGATGGGCCTGATGTGGAAAAAAAAAAAAGAAACAAAGATCTTTTAGCAGTTGTGGTTAACAGAAAAAAAAAAAAAAAGGCATGGCGAAAACTGTATGAAGCAGTTAACTGGTATTTTTGAGGGAGAGAGGAGAACAGAGCATACAGAAAGGGAAGATGGCATCGAGAGCAGATGTAAAAGAACATGATGTTTTCTTACAGGACAAAACTCTAAGATCTAAACAATGCAAACCTACATTTCTAGTGTAGCTTTGCTATATGAGCAGTTGCTTTTGTTGCTTCAAATAGATTGTCTTGTCATAGAGACATCATAGAGGTTGTTATTGATGTTCACAAGCTAGGCAATATGGCATGGGGCTCATGCTATGAATAATGTATGTAGTCCACTAGTCTGTGGCAGTTTACTTCCATGTATAAGATAAAATTCAATTTAATCTCTGAGGAAATATGTTTATTTTATTCCTAACTGGTTTTTGGGTTTTTTTTCCCCATAGCTCGCACCTTCCCTTCCTTTACAAGAAGATTTTGTCTACCACTGGAAGGCAATCACCCATTACTACATAGAGACATCAGGTAAAAGAAGAAAACATTCTGGTTTTGTCTCTTTATTGTGAAAACTAGAATTCCCAGTTTCAGTGTTGTTAAAAAGTAAAGATTAAGAAATACTAAAATGACTCATGTTTTTTATCAAAATACCAAGAATAATAATTATTAATGAAAAATATTGTGTACCTCCTTCAGTCTTTAAAATGGAGGCATGAAAAGCAGTTGAGGGGGAAGTTCTTCTTTCCTGAGTACCATGTAGAGAATTGTACCTTTTCACATCTGACCCAATTTCTGTCATCACATATTCTGTTTAATCTAAACAGACAAGTACAGAAATGTAATCCCTGCTGTTAACATTTTTATTGTTTTGCATCAGGGATTTTCTTTTTTCTTTCCAAGATTTTTAACAAAAGTAATTTTATGTTCATAGATTTTACCAGACATATATGAATTCTGTGTACTCAGTATAAGGTATTTTTTCTCTAGTGTCTTGCCTCTGTTAAACGTATTTTGATAACATCACTCTGAAAAGTGAATTTGTGAACAGATTTAGAACACATTTTGTTAAAATTTAGCCAGATCTTATTTTGCTACCATGCTTTCCTCAAACTTGCTAGTTCTGCATTTCTCCTAGACTGGCTGTTGAATCGTGTTTGTGTCTGGGAGTGGTGATCTTGTTTAGATCAATATTTACTCTTACAAGCTGAAACTTGACCCTTGGTTCTAAATACCCATCTTTTGGAACACTATGTGATGTTTCCCAAGCTAGAAGTGACAGGGTGGTAGGAGAAAGCTGATACCTGTGATTATGTGGTGCAGAATAAAAGCTGACCTTTCTCCCAGACTTTCAAAAGTCTTGTGAGAAACAATTTTCCACTCAGTGGATATACTGCTAACCTCTGCAGTGGGAGCAGAATTATGCCTAGGAAGTTCAAGCAGAACACTAGGCTAACTGGAGGTTGTGGTGGAGACCAAAATCACTCTGACATGGCAATTTTCCTTTGTGATCTTGTTGCCATTTGCATGCAAGTGACAGTTATTTTTAGATTGTTGCATAAGAAGTAGTAAACATTTCCCTAGTGGGATAGTTGTTCAAGGAGAATTTAGCTGAAAAAAATAAAAAGGAAAATCTCCACATATGGATGTGCCCTGCAACATGTTAACACCAGCTCCCACTGCCGGTGGCATAAATCCACAGCAGTTTCCTGACTTGAGTATAATGAAATCAGTCTTACCCTTTCCTTCATAAAGTTTGACAGACTGCTCTCTTAATGCAGAAAGTATAAAAGGCAACTGTAAAAACTTCTGAGGAATAAACAGCATAGAGTTTGAGTTTTCTTTGTTGTTATTATTAGAAAAAAATTTATTTACTTGTCTGGTTTGTAAAGGAACTGATCAGCTGCAGATTAAGCTGATGTTAGAGGCTGTGTATAGATTTCAGAATACTGTGTGAAGAGTCAAAGAGGAAGTTATCAAGACAGGGTGGATAACTAACCGGAAGATTGAGAGTTGAACCTTTCTCTCCCTAAGCTTGTTTTCTGGCTGTAAAAGTTTTCCTTTTTGATTGTGTAGTTAATGCATGTTTTGAAATTTGTCATTTCACCTTTTCTCCATTGTGAGGTTAGATATCTGCCTAATGCATACTCCAGTTTACATTTCCAGTTATGGTTCTGAAAGTTCAATTTAAGGCATGTTAAAAAACTTACTACATGTAAGAGTCTTTAAATGAGTTGCCGTGTTTTCAAATCTTAAATTTATAACTGAACTTCAGACGAGCAAGGACAGTATTTTAATGATTCTTAATTGCATATCTCTTCTATTTAGATGACAAAGCTCCTGTGACTGATACCAATATTCCTTCTCACCTGGAACAGATGTTGGATATTCTGCTTCAAGAAGAAAGTGAGAGGGAATCAGGTGAAACAGGACCATGTATGGAATATTTGCTACATCACAAGATTTTGGAGACACTCTACACACTAGGAAAAGCTGATGTATGTACTTCTCAGCAGAGCAGATTATCTTTTGTGTGAGTTCCTAATTGAATTAGGACTGAGGTTCTGCAGTAGGTGGTAGCATGGCACACTGAACTCTAGCAAATAGCTGTTTGCTTATGTTGCCAACGTACTACTACAAATAACAGTCTTTACAAGTGTCATCAAAATGAGACAGCCAGTGAGATGCTGACTAAGGCAGAACCCTGAGATTTGTTACTCACCACACTGATAATATTGACTGTGTGAAGCTAGAAGTAGCAGAAACATTTTTGTTCAGTCTAGAACTTTTCTGGCTTCTACAAGACAGTTATTATCTCCTGTCCTTTGTTAAGTGTTGAGAGATTCTTAGGTGAAAAGTGTATTAAATACAAATTTTGTTTAATTTTTCTGAATGTGATGTTACCGCTCAGAAGGACTTTCATGTCAGAAAGCAATAATTTAAGCTGATCCCCAGACAGCTTTCACATCCTGGTCATTGTTATGAATGCAACCCTTGGCAATGTTACCTGGTTCTTCTCATGTCTGTTTTGTGGCACATGTGAAATTAGCTGCATGGTCTTGGTGTGTTCTTGTTGCTATCTTTCTTGGCAGACTTATGAGCTGAAATGTATGGGGTTGGATGGATCATGGGTGAATTAACTTGGCAGTCCTTGTGCTAGAACTTTTTGTATCATGATGCAGATGCAGTTAGGAAAGCGTGGTGTATTCTGTACTAAGGATAAATGTAGCTCTCCAGGGTTTCAGTCTGTCAGTCTTTTACACGTTGTCATGAATTTTTAATCTGCTCATTTTTACATATATAGACAAGGTAGGGTACTAGCTGTCTGAGCCTGGGATGTTCCTTGCTCTGGAAGAACCAGAGCTCTACAATTCCTGTTGCTATACCAGCTGTCCTAAGATCAGGCTAAGATACCTGATGTATTGAAAATACGTGCTCAGAAATACATCTCGTTCAATAATCTATAAATTTTGTCAAGAAACTGACATGAAATGGTGACATATGTGAAGCGGGTAATTAGTAGTATGTTTCTAAGAGCTGAGAGAAGTCATTCTGCACTCATGCAAATACGCCTGTACAAGCAATTCTTGTACAGCCTGTCTTCATACTTTGCCACTTGTGAGTTGATACATCTGAAGTAAACGCACGGTTCAGTGCTTGCAAAATGTTGTAAAGATCTGTTGCAAAAATAATAATGTCCTTTCGCAGCGATCACTTAGACTTACTACATTATTGTAGATGGCCCCTGCTTGTACATATTTCACCATTCTTTTCAATAGATTGCTTGACAACTCAGTAATAATTAGGGATTAATAATCTAGGGATAATTACCTGGGCAGGAGAAGCAGTTTAGGCAGTTGTCATTCCTGGCTGTTGCCACTCATGCTCCATTCACCTGTGCCATGAGCCAGATGAGGGAAATGATGTGAGTTAAAAATAACCAATGGAATGACAACATTTAATAACATGGTAGAACCCATTAGAGTCAGGGGGATTTAGCTAGAAACAAAGGTACATAAAAGGACCACAGGCCATCGGATCTCATGGAGATCACAAAGCACTGTCATATGATGTAGTGCATAGGGGACAGGAGAACAAGGGTCTCTCATTAATTTAAAAAACCTTTTGTAGACATCAAGATGTTTATAGTTTATCATTGTATATTCTTACATACCAACTCACTGAATTGCTGGATTTTGTGGCACAGTACCGTAAAAGACAGCTGACTTGTAGCCAATTAATTCAGAGTTGATTTCCCCATATCAGTGTATTGATAGGGAATGTTTCCTGGAAGGACTGTTAGAAGGCTTCACTAGAGCAATTAACTGAAAGTATGAATAATTTGAAAAAGAAAACAGTAATGAGATGCAACATTTTTTGTTGATCTCTGCTAATGTCGATAAAAGTAATGTGTTAACAGATGAGGATTTTTTAAAAAATAATTTAGGGTAAACTATTGCTGTTTAATTAGCCATTTTGAGTGACAAATTTGCATCTATGTTGCTCTATGCATTTGTTATATTTTTGTTATTGTTCATCTGGTTTGTTTCAGTGTCCTCCAGGCATGAAACAGCAAGTTTTGGCTTTTTATACAAAACTTCTTGGAAGAATACAGCAACCTCTTCTTCCCCACATAAATGTGCATAGACCGGTGCAGGTACTGTTCAAATATAAAGTAAACTATATTTTTGTGTGACAGGTTTCTCTTATTTTGCTGTAGCTAATGATATCTTTAATTCTTCTGCTGTCAAGTGAGTTAAAGAAGGTGCTGGAGTGCAGTATTGGTTTTAATGTATTGATGATTAGAGCCTTGAACTGCCACTGCAATGCAAGTCATAACTAATAAAGAAAACTTGTTCATACCAATCTAAATCTAGAGCAAATGTTTGTCAATAATCATACATCATTATAGTAGGTATATAGAAAAAGAATTCATAGAAAAAAAAAAACAAACCCTTACTCTCCATCTTAATTGTTCACTTTTCTTTATGTGACAGAAATTAATTCGGCTGTGCGGTGAAGTTCTGGCAACACCAACAGAAAATGAAGAAATTCAATTTCTCTGTATAGTATGTGCAAAGCTGAAAGAGGATCCATACCTAGTCAACTTCTTCCTTGAGGTGAGTAAATCCAATCAAAATTTTCCAGGTGTATTTGCTGTGTCACAGACAAGATCTAAGAGTACTGGAGGTATCACATCATGCTTCATAGCTTAGTTTTCATTCACTATGATTTTTTTTTTCCTATAATATTAGAAGTTTGGGTGTTGTTTTGTTTTTTTTTTTTTCTTCCAGAGACTTGATATCTCTGATTGTTTTTACAAGAATTTCATTCAGGGCTCACAAATATACCTGCTTGAGGTCTTTGTCCTTTGTAGTGAAAGTGCTTGTAAAGCAGGGCTATGAATTGTCATGCAGAACACTGTGTTATGAAGACCTTGGATTTATTATGTTGTTTTGTCTTCAGCCTAATAAAGACTAAGGGACAGATTGCATGGGGCATTGAAACCTTGCAAGTTGCTCAGTGTTCTGCAGGATTGGGCCCTTATTTGGTAGTGGCACATATGGTCTAGCTGCAGTGCCAGCTCACAATCTACAATATGACATTATTTTTTATCTGTAAGAAAGCCAAATATCTTTACTCCCTCTTCGAACTTAACATGTGGCATTAATGAAATCAGAGTGGGAGGAGAAAGAATTTCTAGACTGACTTTCTGTTCCCATTTAGAAAGAGCATGTAAAAGTTTAATTTATAAAAGTCCATTTAGAAATGCCTCCTGCTCCCATTTCAATGTTTCCTGTGGAGACACAGTGTCTGTTAAGCATGTGATATATAGGTGAAAAGATGTAGATACAGTGTCCTCCAGGAATCTTTTACAAGTGTTGCACAAACAAGATCTGTAACAGCAGAGACTGCTAAACTGCAAAGATACCTTATTTTCCATTGAGTATATGAGTATCACTTACATGTCAGTAGTGAAGAATCCATCTTGAGTTTATTTTTACCTTAATTAAATACCACCCTGATTGCCATTGTATCCACTGTAGTTGTGCACGCAGTAGAAATTGTGTAAGGATTAAAAAGTTAGTGTTTAAACGTTAGAAGCACTCAGAGACAAACTACTAGATACCGTACATGCAGAATATGGTAGAAGTTCAGACCAGCATTACTTTTAATGTCATTTGTTGTATGTTTCAAAAAGAACCCTCTGAATGACTCTTATACCCAAATAATGCTGTGAGAACCCAAATCATAAGAATCACATATTTTGTGAGACTTTAGTGTTCTTCCCCAAAATAGCAAGATAACAATATCAAAAATCAAACATGGAAAACCAGATGATTCCAAATTACAAAGAGATCTCTAGTTTCACAAAATGATGGCTACAGAGTTCAGGCAAGCTGATGAACATTGCTTGTAGCTCCTGTTTCATTCGCAACATTATTCTAAATGTAGCCTAAGGTACTTCTGATAGTTCTTTCCAGATAAAGTATTTGATGTGCAGAAATGTTCTTTATTAGAATAGAATATTCTAATGTTGGTTGTTCACATCTGTGCCTCTTAGAGGTGCTGTTGTTGTGACTTGATAGCTGTTTCTGACCTTCAAATGCACAAAAGGGTAAATTTATGGAATTCTGTGTGGCATTTATCTCTCAAATCTCCAACACTTACAAACTGAAATGCAGATACATCTCTCCAAAGCAGTCTGTTTGTATCTCTTAGTTTTGCTACCTTCTTGGGCTTTTCTTGATCAATTTCTACAGTATTTCATGAATATAAAAAACTGAGTATGTACAAACCCAGGATTTCCTTTGTCTGATTCCTTATCACATAGTTTGTTGACAGAATGCTGTTTATATTTTAATAAAATCTTTCACCTATACTGCTTAACCAATAAGGCTGTATGGCATAACTGTATCTCTTGGACTTTGCTTTTGTTGTGGAAGTAAGAACTGGAAAAACTACATTCCACTTTTTTAAACCTTTAAAACCCATATACTAATTTTATCTTGGTTTTAATTTATTCTTTTCTTTAAACCAAGTTTTCCTTCTGTAGAAAGAACATACATAGGAATGTTTGACTTATCACCTCTATCTCAGTCATTATTTTATGCTAAACTTGTTACCTCCTGTTTTTCCTTATTCATTTATTCATTAGTTGCCCCATCTCATCTCGTCTCATCTCATCCTAACTTACATGAGATACTCCTTGCAACTGGTTGTTCCGTGTAAAGGGACACTTGATTCTATGTGTTTCAATTTCTGCTCTTGAGACCTTAAACAGGGTCTGGTATAGTGTCCATTAAAAAGTTGTACCTTCACTTTATAAAATGAGTAAGAGTTTCATGGTTCACCTCTACTTTCATTACTACAATTTACCAGCTTTATATTTCTCAGCATGAATTAAGTAGTCTCATTAGCTGTGATATCACTTGATTTTTTTCACAGAATTGTTTTTAAATCTACCTGAACACTAGACATGGCATCATCCACCACAGATTTTGAAACCCTGATAGTTATTTATCACAAAAATATAATAATGTATTTTTATATTGTCTGCTCTCTGCCGTTGCTGAATTCACTTGGAGGAGTACATTGTCTAGAAAGCATTGAATATGTGTTTTATATAACCTTTTCTATTAGGTCATTCAGGATCCTGTTTTGCACCTTTACAGGAGGCAGGTGAGCAGCTAAGCTGCAGAATTGCATGATTAGACAATAGGAAGCTTAAATACGTGCAGAAAGTCATGCATATGTGTTGTTCAGTGTACAGACTGCTTTGTTTTACCTGCCAGTGTAAGAGTAATGAGCTATGGACAAATTTCTAGGGACGTTTATAGATTTATATATTTTAGGTCTTCTCATCGATGCCTTAGATAAACAAACTATGGCCTTTCAAATGACAGAAGAGTCCAGACATGAGATAAAATAAGTATTTTATAAAATAATAGCTAATTTTTGAAAGAAGTAGTTTTTCTCTTTGGCAACCCTGCCTGCTACTTGAGTAGTGCCAGCAACAATGTATAATCCAGAATTGAAATGCAGTCCCAGCCTTTAGTTCTGCTTTATGTGCAAGGCTCATTGTTATGATTCAGATATTCCTGTATATTGATAAAATATCTGGAATGATTCTGGAATGATACTGGAGGACTTTAGAAGATTTAGGGATAGACAGCCATGGTTCAGACACACACATTTTGGTTGCTTTGCAGCCTTAAGCATTTCACACTGTAAAAAAAATACATATGTTGAAGGAGTAAATTTTCTGCTGTAGTCAAAAATCATAGTATTTTACAGCATGCAGTGTGCTGCTTTTACCACTGGGTTGTCTCTCCAGGGAGTTGGTTATATGAGTGTATTGCAACATTCAGTACAAATTCTCCACAATGAATGCACATCAATCACACAAGCATTCCCAGCAGTTCTCTACTTTGCTGCCTGAGACTGTCATGTAGTTAGTCCCTGCTGGTTTGTATGTACTAAATGCCATTAACCCCAAATGGTTACTCTTCTAAATTATTAATGCTTGAGATATATTTGTAATAATTTTGGTGTTATCATAGAGAAGGACAACCATTTGGATTTATAATCTCACTACTGTACTCACTTGAAAAAATGTCTCGTGCTGAAGTCTAATTTATGGTTCTAATAAAGTATTATTCACCTGTGCTTATGCCAGAGGAACACTGAATTCTTGCCTTGCTGTGAGTTTCTTCTTGGTACCACAGAGCACAAATTTAAGTGTCTTTTTCTGTGCTGGAGACAGATTTATGGGAAGACAGATGGGTTGCTTTCTTTCAGGCTAAGTAGAGGTGCTTTGTAGCTTCTGAGAAGGTTCTCTGTGATCTGTTGTAGTATCCAGTGCCCAATGCTAACTTCTACTATCTTCTGTCCATTTAATCTACTCAACTTTTTCTTAATGAGAAACAAAACTCAAGGGCACACTTCTGTCATAAAAGATGTTTTTTTCCTTTTCCTGTTGAAGACAAAATCTCAAGAAGTTTAGAATGAGTCTGACTGTATGACTTCAACTGGAAATAGTGTTTCAGACATCAGATGAATTTGAGGCCTTGACGTAGAAAGGGATGTTTTATAGTATGTGCTAAGGTCTAAAGGTGCACTCGGAAGGTAAATTAAAAACTTCTATCAGAGAGTGGGCAAATCAAGTGAATATGTGCCTTCAGTGGTGGAGAGAAAAAGATGCCATCTCTTTGTAAATGGCATATTCAGCCTTGAAGCAAAATGGTACAGGGCTTAAGAGAAATTTAAACAGATTAAAAAATGTTCTAGGTTTAAAAACTCCCATGCTCCCACAACCCATTGCATTCTACATGGTTACTGTATCCAGCCTTGTAGAGAACTACTTCAAATGCTGATGTAAAAAAATGGCTTTTAGTAAATTTCTGCTTCAGGATGAACAGTAATTTCAACCATGTAATTCCAAAAAATGCTTTGCAGAGTAAGTTAAAAGCAATGGCTTCCAAAGGATCATCAGGTGTAATCACAGAAGACATGCTAAAAGGCCAAGAGTCTTTGACAGCAGACACAGGACAGGCCGTTCAGCCTGAAGAAATGCCGAGCGCTGCTGGAGCGGAGCACGTGGAGAAGGAAGATGATCTCCTGCAACAGGCGGATGATCTCTCTTTCAGTATGGATGAGCTAAATGTCACATCATCACCTGAGTCCTCCACTGTTCGTCCAAATCAAGACTATAATTTAGTGAATTCTCTACTAAACCTCACTAAAAGTCCCGTGAGTTGTTTTTTTTGTTCTGTTTAGTGTGATAAAATTAAATAGTTTGGATGCTCTGTGAAGTGGGCGGAGGGAGTGAATATACACATATGTACACTGTATTTTAACTATAAAAAGTAAAACGAGGGTTTTTTTTGCAGGCAGTTTTTGTAAATTGACAGTTTTCTTTGCCAATTCAGATTACAGTAAAAATATTATTCTAGAAAATTGATATTAAGTTTATTGATGATAATCTGTTTTTTTGAGCAACTTGTGTAGGATGCTGCATGTTTCACAGACCAGCTACATAGGATAATCATTAGGTTAAATATACCACATGAGAATATTTTAAAAACTACTTTCAATTGTACTGACTTACCAAAACTCACTTTTTTTGTAATGGCACTGTGCTATTTCTAGAGGCTTGATTTCTTTTAAAAACAACTGCTGTATGTCTTACCCAGCTCCATCCTCAAATTCATAGTCAGATTCTTTTAGAAAACTTAGAGAAGAGTTAGGTAAGCCTGTTAATTGCTACAGCAGGGTTGAGAGCAGAAAACCGAATCTACTGATGTACCTCATTATTGTTAAGTGATAGTTTACATTGTCTAATATCTTGGTCTTAAGCTGTCCTACATCACTAGTTCTATCAACCTGAAGGTTGCAGTTGCATTCTTAGTATTTGACATGAATTCAGGTGAGGTTCACTTTGTACCATCCTAATTCACTAGAATTAAGTTCTAATGACTGAAACGGCAACAGAAATAAATGCATTCACTCACTGGGGGAATGGAGAGGTTTTATTTGGGAGATGTTTGCTTCTTGATTTCAAGTGAGCTTCATTCACCCTCTGATTAATTCTTCCATGCCCTTCTGCCAGGACGGCCGGATAGCAGTGAAGGCCTGTGAAGGCCTCATGCTTTTGGTGAGTTTGCCAGAACCAGCAGCTGCCAAGTGCCTGACTCAAAGCACTTGTTTATGTGAATTGTTGACAGACAGGCTGGCCACCCTCTACAAAGCCCTGCCTCAGTCACTGGATCCCTTAGACATTGAAACAGTGGAGGCAATTAACTGGGGGTAAGAATTTTTTTGTTGTTTTTAATATCCAAGGTGACTTTACACCCCTCGCTAAAACTAATTTTCTATAGGAAGATAAGATGTATAAAATACTCACACCTCCATGCTAAAGTCTCAAGAGCAGAGCTGAGGTACCAGCTGCAGCATAGTTGTACAACTTCAGGCACCCAATATACGTGTGATTTCTGACATGGGGCCAGGTTTGGCTGCCAGTCCCTTGCAGAGTTTCCTCAGGGGGCAAGTTTTTCCACTGAATTACATTAGCTGTTTGTGGTGGTGTAGCTGTAATATTGGGTACAGATTATTTTCTCGTTCAGATGTCAAGGATTTAGGAAACATAAACTTCTCACTGTACACAGTGAGCACTGTAAACTGCTGCAGGGGGCAGGAAGGGTGATAGCAGGTGGTTGTTGCAAAATGTTTGCAGTAAAAAAAGAAGAAGGAAAGAGTTATTGCCTAACTCATCAGCATGAAGCAAAAGATACATGCCTGTTATCCTAACTGCTTGCATGTTAGATTCTCAAAGCATTTATCTTCCACATTCTGCCTTCATTATTATGAGTTGCTTGCAATCTGTTAGTACTGAGACAAAAAGTAGGTATTTGCCAAATGCCTACCACAATTTCTGGTGGTTGAAGTCTGAAGTTAGAAGGGAAAAAACCTACAACTTTGAATACTGGGATCAATAATTACTGGACTGCTTTACCAAAGAAAATGGTGAATTTGTTTTTCCTTAGAGCCTTTAAATTGAGATACATTTTTTTTCTGAAAGATATAATCTAGTTCAGGCATACACTGTGTGGTTTTGGTGGACTTGGTCGAGGTTGCTTACAGAGTAAAGAACAATTGCCTTAATTTCATGGTTCTCTGACTACAGGAGTTATTGATTCTGTTTCTGTGGTCTGTGTTTCCTGTGAGAACAAACTAGGTGATCACTTTTCCCTTCTGGCTCAAGAAATACTTAACCAAACAAGAGTTCTTCTGCTGTACATAATATGCCACTGGAAACCTGTATAATGATAGCACTGCCAGAATAGTAGAGACTAGCAGAAAAGCTATTTTAATGTTCACTTCGCTGCAAGTAGATCATTAATTATTCTGTTAAGTTCAATAAGAATTAAGTCCAGGATTCTTCTCAATATTTTTCCCTGTGTTCTCTAGTTTGGATTCCTACAGCCACAAAGAGGATGCATCTGCTTTTCCAGGGAAAAGAGCATTGATTTCGTTTCTTTCATGGTTTGACTACTGTGATCAACTCATCAAGGAAGCACAAAAGGTTTGGAATGTTTACAGATGATACGAGTATATTCAGCAAATAAGTACTTCCAGTTGTTTCTTAGCTTTTGAGTTTGAGACATACCATTTTCTACTTTTGTTTCAGACTGCTGCTGTTGCTATGGCAAAAGCTGTGCGGGAGCGATTTTTCATTGATGTCATGGAACCCCAGCTGATGCAAACGTGAGTAGCATCCTACAAGACACAGCAGATCAGAATCTGAATCAAGTTGATTGTTTTTTCCGCTGAAATCCACTACATATCTGACATGAAATTTTTTGTTCAGTTCAGAGATCGGAATCCTCACATCAACTGCACTATTGCATCGCATTGTTCGTCAAGTGACTTCAGATGTCCTGCTGCAGGAAATAGTTTATTTTATACTTGGAGAACACAGAGAGCCAGAAACTTTGGCAGACATCAACAGACATCCATTGCGACACAGATTAATCGAACACTGTGATCATATTTCTGATGAGGTGAGAAGTGATAATGACATAATAATGTCTGCTGGCTGGTTCTGTTTGCGTCGAGTTTGTAAAAATGCCATTGTGAGGTCTTATCATATTTGTGTCAGCTAACATGTTTGCCAAGGAAAAGACTTCTGACTGCCAGCCCTACAAATTCCCTTTTGAAAATGAAAGCCAAGCTGTTTTCTCCAGCTAGTACTTTGTTCCCATTGTAAAGATTTTTACTAAATTTGCGCCCTTTGCATATCTAGTTAGACTTGCTCATCTGTAAGACAGAGAAAAATCAATTTCTGTAATTGCATTTTCATTCATGTTTTGTTATATGTTGCATGGCTGTCATTTTTCATGTGACAATTCTGTCATGTTATCACATAAGGTATACCTAAAAGCTTACTATTTTTTATATAAAGTAAGTGTGGTCAGAGAATATACACAATGCCAGTTAAAAGATGATATAATAACTTTAAGCTCTTTACCTACAGTAAAATTGCTAAAATAATTTACTTCAGTAAAATCCCTCCTCAGGAGATGCTTGTTTCATTTTTACCATGAAACAACCTCCACCCTCTACTTTTTCAAATAAAACCCAAACTTGCCTGAAATACAGATCTATGACTTTACATATCCATTTTATTCAGGATGCTTATCTGCTCACCCTGTCAGAATGAGTTAACTGCATAAATTAGCTGATTTTTGCAAAGCTAAGCACTCTAAAGCTGTATTTAAAAATTGTCTCTATATTGCTGAAAGCCAGTCTCTTTTTAAAAGCCTACGTAATATCAACATGTAAAAATCTTAGCCTATAGTTCTAGTCACAGTATCCCAGTATTACTTTGTTTTATTCTGGGTATTTATTGCTAGCTTCAAGTCCTGTTCTGAGTCCGACTTCCACAGTGATAACCATCTTCCAGCATGGATCTTATTGTAATATGGAATGCTAAGTTGTAAGTTATATGAATGTTCTTGTATTGTTATTTTGGCAGATTTTAGATCAGTTTTTGTTTTACAGGAAAAAAAATACATCCACATACTGATTTTCATATATATGTGAACTCTTTGCCCATGTTTATACCACATTCAGCATAACAATTTCATAATTTTTCTTAGGATTTTTGTTTCCTTTCATAATGTAAATAAGTAATTGCAATGTTCTAGGTTGTACAAAACAGATACAAGGCAAAAAGTATAAGGCAGTGGTGCATCAGTTTATTGAATTTTTACTTTTTATGTTGCAGATCAGCATAATGACTTTACGAATGTTTGAGCACCTTTTGCAAAAACCCAATGAGCACATTCTTTATAATTTGGTTCTGAGAAATTTAGAAGAAAGAAACTATATGGAATACAAGCCTTTCTCTCAAGAAGATAAAGATGTGGTAGAGAATGGACAGATTGCAGGAGCAGTGTAAGTTTCTTTGAAGGGAATTTTTCACAACAGCTAACGTGGATCCTTAATTTTAGAACAAAACAGGTTTTTTTCAGTAATATCACTTTGAGTGCTCTATGCATTAATCCATATCTGTAAAGCGATGCAGAAATTACTATATCAGCAATTTATGGAAATTCTTAGAACAGTGATGACAGAAGAGCTAAAAATGTCAAAAGCCTCTTTCCGAAACAATAGACACTCAAAGGTCTTCATATGTCAATTTACTTAAGCATGTACCTAGCTTAAGTCTATGCATATTTGTATTATTTTCAGTGAGAGTATTCTTGAAGTCATTCACTTAGTGTCTTGCTTACATTTATGTTCTTGAATCAATTTTTGATGGAAGAACTTTTTGGGGATACTTTACATAAAATCCTTTTCAATATTGTATATAAATCTTGTAACTTTTACTGATGGAGGGGTAGGGACTAGTCACACCAGCTATTTTAGGCACCTTAATTTAGATACTTCCAAGTCATCTGAAATAATCTATTTCCTGGAGTATAACTCTCATGTAAAAAATGGGGCTAAAGAGTTTAAGTGATTTAGTGCAGTGATTTTGTACGAGTCAAAAATGTCTGCTCTGTTGTTCAGATAAGTTATGATTTTTCTTCAAAACACGAGTTTGTTGGGTATTTTTAAAGGTTGGTACTTCTGCATATTAAGTAGGTAAAAAGATGTGCGTATGAGAGTGTTCTGAAAAACTTTCTTTTTGGAGAAAAAAAAAAAAAGAAAACATGCCTTTTGACCCAGATATTTTCCTGCCTTCCATAACATTCTGTGAATGATCATGTTTTTGTCTCATATAATCTCACAGAGACCTAGAGGAAGATCCGTTGTTTACTGATCTGTCTCCAGATAACACATTGTCAACTCAAGAGTGGCTCAGTGCTTCTCCACCTGTCAGCCCAGAACATTCAAAAAATGATGGGAAGACTGAAGTTCATAAAATTGTAAATAGGTAAGTTGAAACAAACACTTAAAGAAATCTCTGAATGTGTGGGTGTCTGCAGAAACTGTGGAAATTAAATGTACTCTGTAATGGATGTTATTCTGTGCCAGCTGGTAAAATGACTCCACAGAAGGAAATTATGTGGCATTTTATCAGAAAGCCACTCCTGAAAGATTAGAGCTTACAATAAGTAAAAATAATTCAACATAAATGAGAAGAACTTTACAGCTAATAGTCTAGTTGAATACTCAGAATTCATGATGAAAGCCTCATTGATTATAAAACTTTTTCTTTCAAAAATATTTGCTATACTTAAACTGCTGTTACAGGACTTGACCTTCCTGGAGAAGTCTGGAGAGTCTTGCCATAAACGTTTTAGGGGAAAAAAATCCTCAGACTTCCTAAAGTTTCTTAAACACATTATATAAAGGTAAATAATTTGCCATGCTAAAGATAACCTTCTGTTCCCTGAAAATCAAGGGACACCTCTGTCACCTGTAACATGCCTTCATGCATGTTAGACATACTGCAAATTGTTTATGACAAAGAGGACAGGCTCTGCTCTAAGCAACTTAGTGATGGTAATTCTCTTAGCAACTAGTATTAGGACAAATGCTGTTTGCTCTGTTAATGCATGGCAGCAAAGCAGCACTGGTATTTCAGTGCTGACCTAACTATTTACCCTGAAATAATCAAAGGTGTTGGCCAAAGGAAGCAAACAGCCCGAGGACAGTCAGCATAGAATGGGATCGTTGCCTCTTGCCCTCTTTCCCCCCGAACTGCTATATATAGTTTACGGTGGACATGGTTTGGAGCAAAGACTGAGAGAACACTCTCCTAAATTAACCTTGTGTAATCCCCTTCAGTGCACAGAAACGTTTTCAGGATTTGTAGTGTTTTGCAAACTTTTATTTTTCCAGATAAGATAAGCTCCGTACGAAAAATCAGCTATTACGTATTTCTGCATAGAAATCTTACAGGAGCCTCCAGTAGTCCTTGGAGTGTGGGGAAAGCTAAAATTTAGAAACAGGATCAGAAGACTGAGTTATATTTTGCTGTCCAGAAATTTTAGGGTTTTACGTTTAGTTTTTATAGTCAGCTTCTCTCTAATAAGATTTAGAATTTCCTGGTGTTTCTCAGGTCAGGTACTGGTGAAGTAATAAGGATATATAGTATTTACACAATATACCCAGGCAAAGGCAGTGACATTTGTAACTAGGACATTGATATGCAAATACTCCTCTATATTCTTAGATGTTAATTTTTTTACCACAACAAGCTATGGTAAATAAAACTGACTATGCAGTAGGTTAAGAGTTTTAACTGTAGTTCTTCTTCTCTTTTGGCTCATTCATTCCCCAGTAAATTTTCCATATGCTTTAGGAAGATGGAGTCTGACCTTTAGCAAATACTTGACCTGGTTATGAATATTCCTTTTCATCTCCATTTGGTCTGCTAATTCTCAGAGAGTGCTTCCACTGAGGTTTTCACCTGTAGTGCTAGATACAAAAGTTCTGAAGTATATTTCTTGCTGTTATGAATAGTAGTTAGAACAGACGTGTTTAAATAGATATTGTATTTTCTGTTCTTCACATAAAGTTATGGTAGAATCTGTGAATTAATTGACCATACAATTCAGTACTGTGCACAGTGCTACAGATGATGAGAAAGTATTGATCTGGTGCTCTGTGGATTACACATACTCATTAATGTACTTTTTTTCTCTTTAGTTTTCTCTGTCTTGTACCTGATGAAGCTAAGTCGTCGTACCACGTGGAGGGTACAGGTTATGATACTTACCTCAGAGATGCGCACAGACAAGTAAGTCAGCAAAGTCTTCCTTAGTCCTTGAGAATTTGAAGTGCTTATGAAAATGTACAACTGGTTCTATAAATAATCCTACTAAATGCATCTTTTAGTAATAGAAGATGGGAAAATTAATTTTTTATTTTCTAATGAAAACTCACCTTTGGAGATCTTTTGACAGGGAATCCATGTTGTATTATACTAGTGGGAATAATGGATGACATTAAATGCATTAACATTCATATAACAAACACACTGAGAGAAGATCTGAACTGCAGATAGATTCTTAATTTGCTTTTGCATTTATCTGCATTCTCTTGGAGAATTGCCTGCCAAGCTGTTTGAAAGGACTAAAGGGAAATTAAAATGCTGCATAGGAGTTATGCAATCTGGGACTTTAAAAATAAAGGCTCATCACAGGGAATGCGCAGCCTAAGACATTCAGGTTTGAAGTTGGGAGTTTTGGTAGGTAGGGAAAGCTTTATGATTTACTGTTTTGAAATAAATGGGGCGGTTGTTTTTACAAACATAATTAAAGTTTCCTTGGTCAGAGGACAATCACTGTTTATTTTCAGCTGTCTTATTGAAGCCGTGTGCCATCTTCTAGAATAGAAAAATTTATACAGAGTAACTGAGAGCACTGTATTTAGTAGGTACTTCAAAAATTCCATAACCTCTGAATTAATGATATCAACAGTTTAAGATGGGAAGCTTGGATTTCTGTATTTATAGTATTGTTTTATCTGTAGTGTCTTCTGAAAAGAAAGGGAATAGAAAACAGAGAATGCGGAAACAAAGCTTGATGTAAAATTCCCCTATGTTCTGTTCTTTATATGCCAGAAAACACATATCATCTTTGTCTTTCTTCTATGCCTTGGGACAAAGAGTGTTCTGGGAGTTATTAGAGAACAGAATTGGTTTCTGTCACTTCCTGACAGTGATATGGCTACTCTTAAAATATTTCCCCCCTAAGAATAGCCCTGCCTATTGCTGTTATTACATCCAAATAGCTCTTCTGCTTCCATATTTCTATTCCTGGAAGCCTGTACAAGTAGGTAAGCTGCATGCACTGAAGAATTTCTGAGCCTGTTTTGTCTCTCTTTTGCTACTGTTTATTCCTGTGTTCCTTATTTTCACTGCTATAACCTGTGCTCCGTTCAAGGTATAATTCCTTGAAAGTGAGACATCAGGCAGCCCACAGAAAATCAGAGGCAGAGGTTGAGAAAGATGTTACGGGTGATAGGAAACAAAGGGAGGAAGGAGACCTGAAGTACTTATTTCATTTGTATCTCCTGCATACACACATGCCTCTCCTGTACTGGGAACTAGGGAGCAATATGGATTGGATAGGAAGATAAGCTACATGTAATACAGTGAAAGTGTAGTAACATACTGACAAGAATGTATATGAATGCAATTCCTGCTTTAGAAGAACCTTGATCGGGATGTGTATTATTGGCTTTGCTTTGTGTTTTGGCTCCAGCTGTTTTAGGAGCCCTGTTCTCCACTCATTGTGGTTTTGAAACTACCCTAATAGCATGACTGTCAAGAAGAAAATGAGGTGCCTGCATAGAAAACAATCATGTTTATTTTAGAATGACTCTTTTTGGGGGGCTGAGATTTTTTTTGCAGCTACAGATTATGGTTTTAAGGTGCATGGACAATTAAAAGGAAAGAAATGGTTTCTGAGGAGGTTTGAATCTGTTTTCTCAACTACTTTTTTCTAGTTCCGGGATTATTGTGTCATCTGCTTACGGTGGGAGTGGCCTGGATTTCCCAGATCTTTGGAAAAGTGCAATTTAGAAGCATCATTTTTTGAGGGACATTTCTTGAAAGTCCTGTTTGAAAGAATGGGAAGAATTCTTGATCAGGTGAGGAAAAGCAGGTTATTAATTCAATTTCTATGATACTTTATCACTACTAAAGGGCCTATCTCCAAGGTCCTATGGATTCCCAGTGCTCAGATGTCTAATATAGCATCATATTATTGTGTTATGTCCCATGTCCTTGGTGCAGGTCTCTGTAGATTGCAGGATGTTACAGTGATCAGCAACAAAAGTAGAGAACAAAAACTTGCTTATCTTTGTTACCCTCTTTTTTATGTAACAAATGTTTTCTAGACCAGAAATATATTTAAATTGATAAGACAAGAATATTCTTTAAGTAAAAGAAGGTAAGATAGTATCGTAGCATAACTGATTCTGTTTTCATTTTCTAGCATTTACACTTAGAAAACATATACTTTTTCAGTAAATAAAATATTGTACCACTGCTTTTTGCCATATTTCAGTGAACTTCAATCCGAAGTTGTGTTCTGGAAGCAGTTTATGTCACTGTATAAAATGAAAATAACTTAATGTATCACTACTAACATTTCCTCCATTTTTTCAGCTAGAAAAAAACTTACCAGTACATGGAAAGTTTCTAGAAGTTATCCTTTTCCATCTGCAATGTAAAGAAGTCTTTTTTCCTGTTTCATTATCTCCAAATAATAAAAGTATAGCTGCCAAGGGCAAACAAATGAGATATGATCTAACTGACTCCTTGAAAAGGATATGTGACATGTCAAGACCCAGATTAATACAAAGGAATTGAAAGAAAGTGAATTTTCCTGATGTCTCTTTCTGTGTTTAGCCAGCCTGCATGACTTAGTCTTTCTGGGTAGAAGCAAAGTGAAGGCTCAGGGAGGTGAAAAGGAGGTTGACCTGCGTGAAAGCATAATGTTACTTTGCCTTCTCTAAACTCTGGACTTTTAAGTTAGTCAAGTCAATGTTACTGCTTTAGATCAAGAAGATAACTTTTCTTGACAGTGAAAATGAGCCCTGAAAGTGTAGATTACCCTCCCTGTAATACCAGCTGGAGTTGCTACAGATACAGTAATACCAGTTTCAGAAGTTTGTACAATTCTTTTCTGTTTTGCATGTGGAGCTATCTAATAATAAGCTATGGTAGTGACAGGTTTCCTGGTCATAAGCAGGACAAAAGCCATCTGAACACATAAATACACAGGAAACACGTCAGGAAGCCAGTAGTAGTCTCTAGGTCAGCTCTGTGAGTGTTCAGGGGAGAAGAATGTTAGACAGTAACAACTTTTATAATTCAGAAGTCAGAAAAGAAAGCCAAATACTTCCATTGCTACACTGTGTATTCTCAGGGTTTTGCTTCTAGTAAACATGTTCTGCACATTTCACTAGCTGAAATGGTTACAGATTAGAATCATGGCGAAAACTGGGTATCATCAGTTCTTAGGAAAAACAAGCCTCATGAAGACGTTGAGCAGTGACACATAAATTACAAAAAGTAAGGAATCCAAGTTACATCCCCCAAGAAACACCTGAGTGTCAGATACGTACGATTACAACAAAAGTAGCATCTGGCATGGAAGCGCATTGCCCATTTTGATATACTACCTGTCAGCATGACACATACTTGGGTTAGTCTAGCAAGGTGATATGATCTGTTGTGTCAAAAATCGTTCTTGACTCCAGAAGAATTAAAATTAACTTCCTGAGTCAGACAATAGGGGTAAATTCTTACTGTATTGTACCAAAACCCTGTCCTAGAAACCAAACTGAAATTCCTAGGGATGTTCACAGTGAAACACATAAATCTTATAGAAAACCAAACCAAACCAAAATCTAAACCCACAAAACCTGGCTCCTATTAATGACAAACTTGACATAAAGGGTGCTAATGTCCAGACAGAGTGAAAGCCCTTAGTGGGGACAAAGTACTTCTTACAGATCATGTTCAATGTCTTTTTTGCTTTGTCACAGTGCTATAGGTAGTTCTTGTGTTTATCAGTGGATACAGAAAACTTTGCAGAGGTGGTAGGTATCATTAACCTAGTTTCTGACAGAAGATAGCTGAGGCACACAAGTGAAGTAACTTATTTCAAGGCTGTTCAAATCCAGTACCTCATCTGCTAGACAGTACCCCCTCCCTCCTGTTAATATTATACATTTCTATGGAACTGACTTTTTGCTAAGAATTTCGTAAGAATTTCCTGAACTGCAGATTTTGCTGGTTTGAAACTTTTCAGTTATAAATTTTTTAGGATGTTATCTGATATAAGGGTGTCTTACTGAGTCTGCTGACATATGGACAGAAATAAAAGCTCTGTGTGAAGAAGCAGCTTTCCTTAATGCTCTCAATTAGTTCAAATCGCAACAGCAATCTGTCTGAACAATGCAGCACGTGTTACTGCTTTGTTTCCTTCTCTTCTTGTGAACACCAGATAATGCTCATGGCTTCAAAGCTTCCTAATGAATTGACTGACTCAGACAGCTCTAAAGACCTTCTCCTACAGTTCAGCTATGTAGGCAGTGGAATGGATTTATGGAAGGAATTTGCGTCTCTCTCTGCAGAGTAACTTTTCCACAATAACTCAAAATGTAGTGATCTCTTTTAACCATAACATCTCTGGTCCAGGGTCTGAAAGCTTAATTTGTTAGAAGATTGAGATAAATCTCTTGCTGGAATGTCAAGTACAGAAGTAACTGCCACTGACTGGGAGAAATATGTGCTTTCACTTAAAAAGATCTATAAGACAACTCCTTTGCAATGCAACAGTGTGTGGTAATGAATTCAGGAATAAGGTATCTAAATATTAGTTAGGTCTCCACATCTAGTCAGTGAAAATTTTATCAGAACAGCCTGAATAGTCTCTGGAGCTGTTAGACTGAAAAGCAAGTAGGTGTCTCTTTTAGTGCGAAGTGAATCACCATCTCAGCTTCCTTGACTGTATTGACTGAAAGCTTGACTCAGTTGCCTGAACTGCAGTATCTGGTGCCATATTTGTGATGCTGAAGTTATTCCCACAAGCTTGTGGTTACAACACAGGTCTTGCAGGATCCATTCTCTGCGGAACCGTCAAGAGACCAGCAGATACTCTTGAGCATCTGAGATAGCATGAGATGTTTGTGTGTAGGCAAGCGTATCAAGTGTCAGATCACTGCTGAGTAGGCTAATGCGAGCTTAGACATGTAGACATATCTAAATATATCTGTCTTAATCTGAAGCTGAATCTTCCAAATCTTACAGTCTGGGAAAGGGAAGAATCTGTTCTCTGATTCTTCAGTGGGATGCTAACTTGAAAGCACAAAGATGATAATTTGAGGCCATAAAATCATCCTCTTCTGGATATGATTATGCCAGTGAGGACATTGCTGCCAATATGCAGTCAAAGAGCTTGAATGAAGCAGCTTTACAGGGCCCTGTAATCCAATTCAGGTAAAATCAACAAGGTTAAGTTAAACCATCTGGATGTTGGTAACATCATCAGACTGGCATAAGGGTATACCAAGGGAATATCTGTCCATTTCTTGTCAATGTAGTCTGTTCCACCACTGAGTAGACGGAAGGAAATTCCACTGGTTTGCAAATTTTGGGCTGAATTAAAATGTCAACTTGTTTTCACTGTGATGGCAAAATCAAAGATGGAAAAAAAATGTACTTCAAACATAAAGAAGCTATGCTGAAGATACTTGCTTTTATGGAAATGAGTTTCTTACTGGAATGGTAAAATCCTTTAAGCTAGGTACTATTTTTTTCCTAGAAAGTTAGGTACCATTTTTTTCTTTATAACTGATTAGCATCTTCCAGCATCTGACAGTATTGCCTCTTCCATTTGGTAGATTTGGGGAAAGGAGGTAGAGAAGTGCAGAATTTCATGCTGCTTACCCAGCCCAGGACTGTCTCGCCTCCCATAGCATGCTGCCACAAGATGACCAGGCCTTCTGCAATGGTTCTTTCCAAGAAAAAAGGCCTTTATTAGCCATATTTCCAAGAAAACCTTTATTAGCCATAAACATGGATTTGCCTCTCTAAAGTTCCTGAGCTTGTACACTTTACAGTTATCCAGGAGAAGCAAGCAGATGTTTAATATAGGCTGATACTATGCTATTTGTTTAGCTACTGAGCTGAAGAAATATTTTACAGAAAGAGGACTAATCCTACAATAAACAAGTGTGCAAAAGCTTCAAGTGACTGTAGCGATTATACAGATAATAACATCTAATACCTGCCTGTCGTATTTGCATCACTTCTGCTGTGGAAAGCAGAGGGTTTGGGCCTGTCTTCTCATCTAACTTTTTATCTTTATTTATTCATAACCCTATATAAATTTCTAGTAGTTAAATAAACACTGGATGGATGGAAAGAAGCCAGCCTGAAAATAACTAAGCACTGTGTTTTCATTTTTTTGCAGCCCTATGATGTAAATTTACAAGTTACGTCAGTGTTGTCCAAACTGTCCTTGTTTCCCCATCCTCATATACATGAATACCTTTTGGATCCTTATGTAAACCTAGCTTCTGGCTGCAGGTCTCTCTTCTCTGTTATTGTCAGGGTGAGTAAACACAGTTAATATTTAATTTTTACATATGGCTATACAACAGTGATAGTAACTTTGTAGTTACTAGTAGTAGTTGCTGGCTAGTTTAAGTTGGCAAATGGCTTCTCACTGAAAGTAGATACTTACACTCTTGATTTGAGTCAAGATTTTGGATTTTCTACCAAAAACATTGAAAAATGTATTTCTGTGTCTGCATGTCTTCAAACTTGTTTGTTTGCTTAGTTTCATTGTGTAGATCAAAACATCCCCTCTGGCAATGATGTTGCTTTAAACTGGACCAGGTAGTGCTGTAAGAACAGGCCAGATACAGGTTTGCACCTGGGTGGAAAGAGATGGCTTTAACTGACACACAAGCAAAGGACTCTCCTGAATACCTTGTGCCTGGATGGGTATCTCTGCTCATCCTTTTTTTTTTCCTGATGAAGGCTTTTCTTGGCAATGAAGTCCTCGATTTACTGGAAGTCCCTCCTCTCTCTCTCTGATTCCATCTCCTCCTGCCAGACCTGCATCCTAGAAGTGCTGGCTGGGTGCCTGTCACCCTGCAGTCTTCTCAGTCAGAGACCCCTTGCCTACCCCACGCACCAGCTGTTATTAAGCTGGTCGGGAGCCTATTAATGATGCTTGCCCAGTACTAATGGAAGGATTAGCTCCCTTTTTCCCAGCAGCCCTCCCCATTTCAAAATATAATCTTCTCTCTCTCCCTTTGTGCTTTCCCTAGACTCAGGAATTTATTGGTCAGTTGCCTGCATCAGCATTTACTAAGACAAAATAATCATTGTCATAATTAAAATAAGTGATACCATTTGTGGCAACAGCTAGTAAGGCTCAAGAGTTCCTGTCCTTTTACATCGCTTTCTGCGCTCACTGTCCCTTTTTTGGGGCAGTGGGGGTACTCTGCATGTTGTTTTGTGAGCCTGTGGGGATGCTGGAGTGGGTCTGCGTCCTGGGCACTGAAGGCTGTGGTTTAAGCTTGCTGCCAGGCGCTCTGCAAAGGTGTTATTTTGTGTGTTGATGGCATTGTGTGTTACAGGTCGTTGGGGACCTCATGGTTAGAATCCAGCGCATCCCAGACTTCACTCCCAAACTTCTTCTGGTCAGAAAACGCCTGCTGGGTTTGGAGCCAGAAGGGCCCATGTGAGTAAATACATTGCACGTTCTCCAAGACCTCTGGCTGTTTCTAGTGTGTGCCAGTCCTGATTATTTGCTTTTTTTTTTTTTTTTTTCTTTCTCAGCATTGACCACATGACGTTACTAGAGGGCGTGATTGTGCTGGAAGAATTCTGCAAAGAGCTGGCAGCAATTGCATTTGTGAAGTATCATGCCTCATCTACACCATAAGCAGCCTTGATGAGTAGCCAGGCTGTAAAACCACCTAGCTTGTTTTGGTCAAAAAACTATGGACAGCACCCAGATGAGAAGATGTGGTGCCTCCTGGCAAAGTGTCAGTTGACATTTGGCAGAATTGGCAGAGAAGTTATTTTCACCAGATGTTGACGCTGCAAGAGAGAGGGATTCAAATGGACCTTAGAATATGATTGAAGGCATTCTGGGAGAAACCAATGCATAGCATTTCTAGCCACTGTGTGAAGAGCTGCAAAAGCTGCATGAAAAACCACAGGCATCAGACCTTGGTTATTCATTATAATGACAACATTTAGAGAGTTGGGTCTTTGTATGTTCTGGGGCTCACATGCACCAATTCGCTTTTTGTGACCATATTACTTTTAAAAAGCAAATTAATTTTATAACATTTTTATGTCTTAATTCTTTTCAGTTGGATATATGAAAGGAAATCACAATTATAGTTGCAACGTGTATTATTAAAAATGAACAGGTTCAAAAAATCCACCAATCCATATACAGTCAGATGTATTAATGAGGGATCATTTTTGGTTTGGTGAATCTTAAAGACAATTGTGAGCTTGATTCCCTGATGGGTTACTCCAAGAGATATATCAGTATAAAATAAGTACTAATGGAATTAATCCCAATTCAGCATCACAACCGTAACAAATATATCTGAAGTGTACGTGTTTCTAGCATGTTTGTCTCTGTCATTCCAAATGACTGCTCTTCAAGTCATCTGTGTAACTAGATTTGCTTTACGTTTTTGCATGTGAACTCTTGTTGCTTGACTTATGTCACATTTGCAGAGAAGTTAATTATAGGTCGTTAGTAGTTGTTGCTGAAATAGTATTTTTAATTTCTTTAAAATTGGTATTCAGCCTGATTTGGTTTAAGAATATTCTGTGCCTTGAAAGTTGGCAGCATAAACATTCTGTCATTTTTAGAAATATTTTTATTGCTTATCTAACCATAGCAATAGTGCCCAGCAAAAGATTGACTGATGCCAGTTCAGTTAAAGCGTTGATACCATATATAGGACCAAAATTTGTGCCTGCTTTTCATAGTGCTGGGATGCAGAAATGTCTCTCAGTGAATCGTTTTCAGTATCAGCCAGGGCAGGCATTTGCACTGCAAGTGGAGGGCCACTTGGACTTGAGCAGGCTTTGCTCCTGTTTCTCCAGCTCGAAGGCAGCCTGCAGTCAGTCAGGTCCTGCTGCTCACTGCTGCTCACGCTGGCAGGTTCAAGGGGCCGAGCTTTAAACCTCAAGTCACACGGAGTGACTTGGGTGCGAGACCTGCCCTGCTCTCTGCACGTGTGTGGTGTCTCTGTCCCCTCCTGTGAACATGACAGCATAGGCATGCAAGGTAGAGTTTAGCTCCTTGTGTTTACATTGCATTTCTTTGTCTTTCCTACTATCCTATTTGCACAGCTAATGCCCATTTCAGATGGACTAATTTACTCAGTGACGAATTTTTCTGGATTTACATGACTGTACCTAGAATCAGATTCTGCTCTGAATCCGTGCCTTTGAGGTCTTGTTTTTTTTAATATTCATGGAACTTGGCTGGTGAGAGGCCTTTTAAGTTAGCAGGTTAATTAGAACAGTGTCACAGTTAATGGGCTGAATTTATTCTTGTCACAACAGTGAAGAGGGTCCTGCTGTAAAAGCTTCCAGTAGAGGGTCAGCTGGAGAGAGCAGTTCTGGAACTGGGGAAGCATTTTGGCATGTAGAAGTTCTTCAGTGGCTCCCTATACTGGGAGGCTTTTGTGCAAAGTGTTGCATTTATGTGACAAACAAAATCATGTTTTATTTCCTGACTTTTTTTTTTTTTTTCCTGAATTTAGCCCCAAAGTGTTTTCAGGTCAGAGTAGCATAGTAGGATGAAGTTTAAAAAAATTACTTTTTTTTTCATTTTTTTTCTTTAGAAACATAGTGTAGCAAATAATTTTTAGTGATATGTATTGCAGTCAGTCCATATTAGAAGCTTCATTAATGTAATGTACCTGACGCATAGTTTAGAACTTGTAAATGTCTGTGCAGAGTGGTGTCTAATACATTTGTTATAAATAAGGTGCCAATTCAGTAAAGCAGTTAAACTTAATTTCAAGAATTTTGTTTCTAAATCACAATATTTTACATAAACAAAGTTAAGCTGTTGAGTACAAATGCTGATGCTTTACTGAATTTGGATCTTTATTGGTTTTGCTTGAGCTTAATTACTTTTTCCTTAGATTTTCTATTTTCATTATTTATTTTTTTAAAGTGTATGTTCCAGAATACTTCTAATGTTCCAATTTCACTGGAAACTGGAAGTGATACTACTACTATAAATGAAAGTGAGAGAAATATTAAACAAAACTTGAAAGAGCATTCCAAGTAATATAACAATTTATAAAGCCATTCAAGAGATGCCTGATCTCAAATGAAAGCATTAACACCTCTTTTGTTGTTGTTCCTTTCACTGATACCTGAGCTCATTAAGGAATGGTATCAGTCATCTTCTGGAAGGACTTCTGCAACCTCTGTGGCATTTTAATGCAAAACAGTCTGCCAAGCTGTAAACCAATTCCTTCAAACTTGTCCATGAGAAAAATAGGTAGATATAACTATAAGCACTCTTAAATTCGAGATGTAATTGTTTGGTCTCCAGCAACATTGGTGATGTTCTTGCAAACTAAATGTTACTTAGTCGATAAGTTTATCACATGGATCCATCCTGATGGAAGTGAAGCAATCCTTAAAGTTGCTTTAGCCTACAGAGCTTTTGTGAGTGCTGCCTACAAACCCTTAATTACCATACATGATGACAATGACCTTTATTTTTTATAAGTGATTTAATCTTCCTTAAGAGATGGAACTCATTTAATTATTTTTGTGGTGATACTTTTCATGCACTTTTTTTTTTAAAAAAAAAGGGGTTAGAAGTTAGTTCAGGTCCATGTTTTCACCTTTCTGATCTATGCATGTCATTGAGGTGCCCATTTTGTTTCTCTGTGTGTGTGTTTGTATGTGGTTATTTATTACCCAGAGATGGACACCTGAAAAAATAAATGGCCTGAAGTTCACAGCATGTGCAGATCCTCCAGATGTCAGTGGGAAATGCAAATGCTTATCACCTTAAGAAGTACGGCCACTAGTATTAGATCGAAATACTTGAGAGGTAATACTAATTTTTTATTTCAAAAAGCAGATCCAAACCACATTTTAATCTTGATGCACATGTGTGTAAATAGGCACATTTTTTACGTTTTTTTCCACTTACAGTATGTATTTGATTTAGACTCCAATGTAGAAAATTTTGTAATAAGCCATGCGCTAGGTCTGGTAGAACAAGTTTGTCCTTAGTTTCTCATATGACTGTAATATTCCTGGTTATTCAGATCCTGTCTGTGTAATATTCTTACTCTGTATTTGTCTGTGCAATATAAAAGCTGTGACTTGATACACAGCTTGAGTCTGGTTGTACACCACCTATGTATATATATACATATATATATATATATATATAAAAAAAAAAGGACCAGAATCCTGAGCTTTCTTACACTATGACTAGTGTAAAGATTGTCACACTTTATTTTACAGGGCACAAGTAATCATGGAATGGCTTTGTAAATGCGTGGTAATTTCTAACATGACCTGCTGCGTAATTTCACAGATGACATTTTATTATTGCTATTTGTCTTGCTAAAAGAAATACTAAACCAAATTGCTCAGTAAAATTGAAGGATTATGTAGTAGACTTGGAGCTACGTGGAAAATCCTAGTCTGATATTGCGTATCATACAGGGTTTTCAAACCGTGATCCTCAACACTTCCTGTGCCCTGTAAAATAGTGTAACTATATAAAATATATACTCCTTGTTTTGCCTCCTGCCTTGTTTACATTAAACAGAGGATATTCAGTAAAATTTTTCTATTAAACTTTTGTGTAGGTCACTTACTGGCAGTGTTGCCAAGGTTTCACAAGTGTGGGATTTCCAGTGAGGAATTGTTGAAACAGCTACATTACCAGACATACAATACTAAGTTTTATGAAGGAGGTTGTGATAAATTCCAACTTTTTGTGCTAAAAAATGCATGGAGGATTAAAAGGGATATTCTCAAAATAAATTAATTTCATTGAAGCAACTGCTTCTATTATTACTGAATCCCTAATAGGTTTGGTATGGATGACCTTGAGACAGAAGATGTTTTAACATTTTACATCATGCCTTTGATCTTGAAGTCCTTTCATTATTGCATTTTTAAGTCCTTTCATTTATTTTGAGTCTGTCACTGCAGCATCTTCTGGGATAAATCTGTTTCCTGTACTGTACTGTGCAGGGCTCGAAGTGAATCAGCATACTTTTGCCCATGAAAACTGGAAGCTGAGGGAAACAGCCAGGATGGAGTCATCCTGAACACAGATTAACGTCTGCTCTTCCCGAGAGCACTAATATCTTCCAAGACTGCAGCTGGTCAAGACCTTGGTTTTCTATTGCATTTGAGTGCCGAATGCGTCAGTCACAACATTAGTTTATTGAATTGGGTACAAATGTCATGTACGTGAGTTAGAAGCATTTTTTCCTTCAGGGGCTCTGAAGAAAGCTTTTAAAGATAGTTTTTATATATATTTAAAATTGCATTTGTTGGGGATTTTTTCTTAGTATCTCATCTAGTTTTGGTGTCCTTCAAGATTTCATCAGCTTTTAAAAAATCTCATTGCTCTGTAAGTTCCCCTCGGAGGGCTACACTTGGATGTTAAGCCGTTCCTCCTTCTCAGTATTTAACAGCTGCAAGTGCTCTTGCATCTCTAACAAGAAGAGCGCTACAGCAAGATGATACACTTGACAGCTTTTTTTATAGCTCTCAGCATCTTTCCCTCATCCTCCTGGGTCTCAGAGATTGTCATCTCCCACCCCAGATCATTTATTTGCTGTGCCTGCATGAGGCATTTAGAGATTTAGGGACACTCTGCTTCCTCAAGCAGTGAGGAAGTTGTATCAAAATTGCACATTTTGTATCTTCTTGCATTTTTCTCTTACTTTAATATCCTTGAAGTGACTGGATTATTGAAGCATGATAATCTTATAGCACTTGCATTCTGATTCAAGATTTTGGGGGCTCTACATCCTATTGGAAAAAATTTAGAGTATTTTCAGTGTGTGGCCTCTACTTCATATTCATTAAGGCATTTTACAGATTCTAGGTTGAAGTTCTCAATGGAGACAGAAGTAGCACAGAATCTACTGAATTTGTTAACCTTTAAATATTACTAGAACTGGTGCTGTCAAAGTCTTAAGGATTTTGTTAGTTTGGTACATGATCCAATTGGATTAAAGTGGATTAATGCTCAGAGAAGTGAATCTGTCACAATTTGTACGAGCCCTTTTGGCCTAAATCCATATGTTCCTGGCGTATCCTTCATCATCTGAGGTTCCCTTTGAAGGATGAGAAAGAAAACTGAAGAGCAATTTAGGAATCAAGGGAAGCATATGGTGGATTAAAGTTTTCAGGTATCGTAAGATTCTTGGGAATGCCAAAAAAGAAAGAAAGTGTGAAAAGTTAAATTTTACAAGTTTGGACCAGTTGCTGGCATTGCCTTTGGAGTCAGATCTGTGAGGATAAAATGATGCATCTTGGAACGCAGTATCTCACCAGGCTATTTAAATTGCCCTTGCTAGGATGGTATATATATTCTGAACTGTTTTTCATTGAATTCCTGCTGGTTATTACAATAATAAATGCTGCTGGTGGTATAAAATCTGCTAGAATAGTGCTGTGGAACTGACAACTTTGTCAGTGTCTTGGAACTTTGATGAAGTAGATATATCTTCCTGGCTTTGCCTTTCTGCTCTACAGCACCATAACTCAGTAGGCATTTGTGTGGTGTCTCCTTCCTCCGGTGAAACATGTTATGTACTGAAAAATATGGAAACACATGAAAGGAAGGAACCCATTACAGTGTAGGAACATGAAGAAAAATGTATTCTTAATCACCTTGATTTTCAGAAAAGGTGAACCTCATTATATTCTAAACTGAACTGAACTCTGAAATAACAACTGCTGGAAAGAGGAAGGTTATCCTCTACAGCAAGCCCCAGGTAGGTAAGTATAAACCTGTTTCAGAAATACGCACTGAGGATGGCAAATATGACACATTTGCATTATATGTTTCAAGGTGTATAGTATCCCATTTCCAGTTAGTTGAGATGAAGCAGCTGAAAATGTAAGTCACTGTGCTGAGTAATAACATATATAACAAGACTGCAGGAAGTTCTGCAGAAAATGGCAAAAGATAATAAACTGATTTAAGAGTAGGGCAACACAGGTAACTTAAGTTTAGCATAGTTAAATTATGGTTTAGGGTTAGAGGAATGTTACTTCCCAGTAAAGAAATTTGAAAGCCTTAAGCACCAAGACTGAAGGAATTATGGAGCCTAATTTATCAAAATGGAATTAAGAATGAAGTAGTGTCATTGAAGAGAACTGATACTCAGTGTCAGTGAAAACTTCCCGCCCATAAATGCTGCTAGACCAGAAGTGGAAGCAGCCTGTAACCTCACACTTCTAGAAGTGAAGTGAAACATTGAAACATCGAATGTTTGAAGGAGAAACCAGCCTGTGTTGGTGAGGTGATGAACTAAACAGGTTTACATCCTCAGCCTCCCATCTAATTAACAGTCCCTGAATTACTTGTATTTGTTCTCCTAGAAAGCAGTGAGATGGAATGATCCACTTGAGCGTCTCCTGTCAATGAGGGAAGTTGCAGCAATCTGAGAAAAGCAATTTCAGCCTTCCAAACCGCAACTCGCTTACATAATAACCTCTTTGCAGAAGCGGCACCCATTACCCGCAGCGGGCGGTACGGCTTGATTAGCCGGGCAGGATCCCCCCGTGCTGAGCTGCCTTGGAGAGCAACAAATTACCTGTTCTCTGAATCGTCATTATCCTTTCCTTGAGAAACCCACTTCTACCTCCCTCATCTCCGCATACACAGGAAGCACCTGTCAAGTTCATATTTCTTAATTTGGGTCATGAATTTTTATTTCCTCAGGTTTGCAGAGACTCCCATTTTTACTGTTAGCAGGATGTCCATCAACACTGTGCACATTTCCAGACAATTCTCCTTTCAGCTTCCTGTAAAGGCAAGAAATCTTTATTGTTTATCCTGCTTTTTGAGACTCATGTTCTCCTGCCTTGTTAATTCCATCCTTTCAAAGCCCTGAAAATGTTTTTTGTCTTGTCCTTCACCTTGGGGATTCTGCATTCAGCAGTTTGTGCAGCTCAGCAGGCAGGGAGTGTTAAGGATGACAGACGAAAGCGGAGCAGCTTCTGTCCACCCAGTTCCAGCTGCAGGATCTGCAAGGGAAATCCTATCTACATAGCAAACGAGGCTGGGAGGATCAAGAAGGAAATCCTGAATACATTGAAATCAATGAGAGTTTTGCTATCAGTAGAAATTATGCGAAGTCTTAGCTCCCTGCTTTGCAAACTCATTTTAGCATTTCTGGCAATGTTTTAACTTTTTCAGAAGGACAACAGGAATGAAAATTATCAGAGAAGAAACTGGGTTCATGAGTTTCCTATGATGCCTGAAGAAAACTGCATGGCTTGGTCGTGTTTAAAAGATACATTTAAGGAGACATCTTCGATTTAAAGAACATGTCTGCACAAGTACTGACCTGTGACCTGGCAACAGCTCTGAGCTGCCAACAGCCATATCTGGTACCAGCTCAGCGCAGGGACAGAGGATTCGCATCTGCTCAGGCAGGTGTGGGACAACTGGTGTTTTGGACCGAGGGAAGCGCAGTAGTTGTAACCCTCAGAGGGGATCTTACAGCATTACCACTGAAGTAAAGCATAAGCCAAGGACAGGAGAATCATATTTCCTGTATATATGTCATGCATACTTCATATATTTCATATATCTGATTGCTCAGAGTTTTATTGTGTTGATGGTGCTTCTTTGTTCAAATAATTGAACACAGATTCCTAAGGAACCAAAGCCTGAAGAATGTGGGATCAAAGTTCAGTCACCCAAATCTCTTGGCTTTGCTTACATAGGCTGAAGCTTGTCAGGACCATGTAAGATACACTTTTAAGCCAGTGATAATGGAAGGATTACCTTCTCACAGCCATACACCGGAAGACAGCCTTGATGTTGGTAAATAAGACCTTACATTAACAGCTTAGAATTCTGCTGTTCCCTGACTTTTTTTTGCTGAAATTTAGGAAAAATAATAGTAATACTGGGTAGATCATGCATCAAAATTGTGCAAGCAGTTTCATGCTATATATATCAAATGTCTGCTTCTCTGGAGTCATGATCTCAGCTTGGATCATTAAATACGGATTTGGTTTAATATCAAACAACAAATCACAATAAACCTTGATGTTTCCAAGATGGCAAATATGCAGGAAACTAGATTTATCAAACCTTATTTTTACATTCTAAAAGATCAAGAATGTGCACAAACCCTTTTCTTCCCCTATTCTAATTAATTCCAAATGTCAATTTGATCTACTAATATGATTCTAACTGCCAAATTTCTAAAATAGGGTTGCCTTTTTGTTTCTAAATATCAACCGAGCAGAATAATGAAAAAATAAATGCCTTGATGTGATTAAATGTGATCTGTTCAACCAGTGGGACAGTACCACAGCTTCAAAACCACTCTCAAGTTCATGTCTCAAGTGAGATGCTGACAAGGAATGTTCTGGCTGGCTTTGTCTGAGAGGGGAAAGCTGCAACAGGAAAAGTTTCTACCTTCTAGTTCTGGTTTAGAAAGTGGAAGTACATTATGATGGCTAGTTTGGGATTATGGTATATATACTTATTCTGTAAACCATTGTTTGTTTATTTCATTTTATTTCAGAAGTAAGCAAAGGTGGGAACTATGAACAATGTGATACTAATAATTCCAGCCAGCATATGCAGCAGCCGGTGCCATTTCAAGGAACATATTACTTCTTACCCCGATCACTGTGTCCTGTTCTGCTAATTAGTTATTTTTAAGCAGTTTGCTTACTATCCACACAGTGAGGTGATGCTGAGTAATTTGAGCAATTTTGTTGCGTTTGTGGTTTTGAGTGACAAATACAGTTTCTTCTCCATCTGACAGCTGGGTGACTTACTCTATTA